TCTGGCGAGACACCCATTATCATACTGTTTAACTTTAACCCTAGAATGCTGAAATAAAAACCATCAATTTATCAAAGCAAGGTTATTTCATACCAATTTGAGGGTTTGGAAGATAATTTCAAGCAAAAGAGTCACTTACCAAATACTATTTACAATCTTGATTATGTACAGAAATTGGTGGCGCATTTCATTACTGGGAGGTGCCCCTCCCAGCAGTGGAGTTTAGCGGAGGAAATGGCGGTAGCGGAAAGCCTCTAAATAGCGGAATATTGAGACCTATGCTCTCGTTCTATTGAGTTCAATTTTAGTAAGAGTTTTACGGCACTTGCAACTCAGTAAGGCTATATATATTATAAGTGCCAAAGATTAAAAAGTGTAACAAAAGAGTAACAAACACAAAAAAGGAGGTGAGATTAGGACGATAGATGTTTGAAAGGAAAGAAGGAGCAAACCACACCAGAACACCCGCCAATCATCTCCCTCTCTCCTTCTCCCACGAAAACAACTTGCACACACACACACACATCAATGTACACATCAACTACGAGATAACAGTCATTTGTTACAGACTGGCATGAACAAAAATCTATACTGAAAGTAACATAGACCTATTTAATACAGTACATGTAAAACACGGATAGGTCGAACACAGAAGATTTGAAATCACGAATCCATCGAACTGTGCCTGCGGTCCCAGGTTTTTTTTCTTCTTTATCTTTGTAAGATATCCCTCGAACAACGGATAAATCAAACTACAGTGGAAACCATATATAAAACAGGGATGGTGGGACCAGAGAAAAAGTCCTGTTATATCAGATCCCTCTTAATCCGAAAAGCAAGGGAAGTAAGCATTCGTGGGCTAATCCAGCTGTATTTATTCACAGGTAGTTTCCCATGGCCAGAGCATGACACATTACGCGTGCGTGTAGCTAGGCTTAGGGCTACATCGAAGACTACAGCACACCGCAGCCCTCTCTAGCTTCACCCGCTGTGTGTCTCTCTCCCTCTCTCTTACTTTTTACACACCGTTAAGGAGCCTTTGTCCCTGCTATAACAGATTGGGCTCTGATGAGGCCCTGTGGCCGATAACTTTTAACAGAGGCAAAGAGTAGGAAGAAAGCGGGGATTTAGAAAATCCCTGTTATTACCGGATCCCTGTTATTACCAGGCCTGTCATATATGGTTTCCACTGTACCGAGGCCTGTCCTAACGAATTCGAGCTATCCGTGTTATACTGTATATATACGAGCTCGTATATGTATTGGGAATGTTATTCATAACTGACTGAAGCTGGCTAAAAACAAACGAGCCTTAAGCACCGATTTGAATTTTGATAAAGAGATTGCTTCCCATAGATATGCTGGTGATGTGTTTTACAGGGACTTCATCTACTTCCCCATACCTCCATCTCTCATCACCACCCCATCCAAATCCCAAAATAATAGAAAACGACCATGAAAAACCCTGCCTCCCCACCCCCCCCCCCCTTTTCCCATACACACATACATATCTCCCCTCCCCCCAAAAACACTATACCTCCAATTACTCCCCCCCCCCAACCTACTACCTCCACCTACCTCCCCCCTCCTTAAACTAGGTAGCGTAAACACGGCCTCGCGGGCTCTCGCAAGCTTCCGAGCGCGTCATATCGGTGAAATCAGGTTATTTCAGATCGCTGTCTCTTTGCTCTTTTGCTATTAAACACCAGATGCTGTACACCTTGTAAAAGTACAACTTTTCCTCGTTACAATGGTGTAAGTTGTTTATATGTCCGATTATTAGGAGCTGGAGAATCGCAGTGGAAAGCTAAGCCCCTCGCGGTCAGAATGCGTGGTCGGCTGCTTCAAAAGTTGATACACGTGCATTCAAATGCATCACGGAGAGACAGATGATTAAATACCGTCTTTTCATTGGCGAAGAACAGTAGAAATTTGGACGAGCTTTCCCGTGGTATATTTTTGGCCTTTGGCGTTCAATTAGAAAGCCTTTTAAAATATCGTCAAAGTTTTCAAAGATCATTTTTTACACGAAATATGTAAAATACCGACTCAAAAAAGGTACCAATAGAAAGATCAGTTCATTTTCTATCAGAGTAAAGTAATCGGCTTGGAATTATTTTAGCATCAATCCTTCCGCGAAACTCATAAAGCATGTGACCCCCACGCGGGGTACACTACACAGTATAGAGCCAACTTGCTCCCCGCGGGGGGCCGGTGCAGCACCGGCCGGGTCAACGCTCACTGTTTTGGTCGAAATAACGACAGATCATCATGTTTGCGGCAATAAAATACTGGTTTGTAATGATCTTACAGTCTTGAAAAGAATTAGGCTCCATATCTATGTTATAGTGATTGCACTCTGTTAATGTGGAGAAGTTTGGTGCACTTGGTACTGATTTATTATCTGTCAAACATGGGGTTGCAGCCAGTGAGAGACTTTAACAAATTTGATCAAATTTTAATTAGCTACCATTTTCTTAAAAATTGATAGAGAGGTTAAAGTATGGTATCAAAATTATCAGGAGATATAGGCCTTTCATGGAACAGATATTTGGTATACAGCCACTTCGAAAATTTAGTCTCTGGTACCTACTTAAACATGCTCACATACACACCTCATCAAGTAGAAAAATACCCCCCCCCCCTCCAACAACCCCCTACCTCCACCTACTCTAGCATCTGTGTTTGTCGTGGATTTTCGGCATTTTTTTGTCCGCACGCGATTCGATTTTTCAAAAAGAAAAGGCTACTTCATAACATAGACGTGTATTTTGATCATTTTAAGGTGTCCATGAATAGTTATTTTCACGCGAAGAATAATAATAAGTACATTACATACTATTTATGATATTGCTGTTTGTCTTTTATTTTCCCCTCTTTGTTGGAGTGTTAATTTTTCTTATCTATTGGTGCGTGTGTTTATATGGCGTAATGTCATTTAATTTGATGTTCCTACTTTTTTTTTTTAAGTATATAAAAAATGTGTTATGTTAGAGCATGTCTCCACCAAAACCGAATACTGACACTGGAAGGTCCCTTGTGTGTGATTCCATAATTTACATCCTGTACTTTTTCTTGAATTACACACGTTTAGGGTTAAAACGGCCAATCTTCGGATAGGTGGACAGGCGTCCTTATTTGTTACTTTTTAAGGTTGTTTGTGTGCTGTTCTAGGTCGGATTTCATTCTGTTGTGAAACCTTTATTTCTCACGTTTTTACACTCGATGTGTCTACAAATAATATTCTGGATGCTTAAAACAGAGCACAAGAAATTCTGGTGCTTTAGATTAAGTTACCTCTATCAATATACATGTATTACGTCGTCACAGCTAGTTAAAAGCTTGAAAATCAATGGCAACTTTTTTGGCAACTTTTGGACAAAAAAATGGCAAACAAATGCGGATGCTAGCGTACTTCCCCCCCCCCCCCCCCCCCCCCTCAAACCTAATATTACGAAGGAGAAGAGCGTTGAGGAAAAGCCTTGCCCAGCACCACCAGCTGCCTCCTATCCTCTGTCGTGAACACGTCCACCAGAAGGAGGAAATCCCTGCCCAGCAGATGTGTGGCACTTGACCGCAACGCATCCACCTGACCCCTGGAAAGACGCCGGACGGCACAGTCAGCCAGGCCCAGTTCCGAGTCGTAATTCCCGAGCAGAAGATCAGAGAAGGTGTCCAAACTGGCATCTGCGACAAAGGCACATGGCTTGACGGTGTTGAGGTGGACCACGTTGTTGTTGTTGATGATGCTGAAGTTGTTGCCAGGCACGCCTTGCCAGCGGACATTCACAGCATTACACATCCTGGACTGAGTACCTGAGAAAGAGAGAAAGAGAGATTCAGAGAGAGAGGGAGTAAGGGAGACAGGGGGCGGGGGAGTGAGAGAGAGTGAGAGAGAATGAGAGTGAGAGAGAGAGAGCAGTGAGAGCAGCGAGAGCGAGAGAGAGAGATAGAGAGAGAGACTCAGAGAGAGAGAGGGAGCGAGGAAAGAGAGAGAGAGGGAAAGGAAAGGAAAGAGATAAATGGAGGAAGGGAGAGAGAGAGGGAGAGAGAGAGAGAGACAGAGAGAGAGACAGAGAGAGAGAGAGAGAGAAGGGAGGGGCGGGGGAGAACCTCAATTTGTTTGTGTCAAAGATGTAGAATTATTTTTTTGCAAGCCTGAACTCACTGGTTTTGTTTGAGGAAAGGGAAGCATGTTGGCACAAAAAAGTCCGTTAGAGCAAGAAAAAAATAGCAAAACAGGTTGTAAGAAACAGCAAAGAAAGCTGTTGAATCTACCTGTGCTACTGCTACCATCTATGGGTGGTTGGCGGGTGCTCTGGTATGGTTTGCTTCTTCTTTCCTATCAAACGTCTATTGTTTTTATCTCCCCTCCTTCTTTTTGGGGTTTGTTACTCTCTTGTAACACCTCTAATCTTCGGTACTTATATGACTTTATTGTGTTGCAAGTGCCGTAAAACACTTACTAAAAACAAACTCTACCAAACCACCCTCTCAACTTACTGGTCTAGAAAATGAAACACATAATCATCAATAAAGAGACTGATAGAAAATGTACAATGTGATTACTATACCACAAATAACCTTACAAACTGATTGAAAATGATTGCACAAGATTTACCCATTTACTAATTATTTACACATCATTTAGGAGGCAAGCTGCTTCCTCCTTGCCTGTCAAGGTACAACATCCTAACAAATAGACGGAACAAGAATCAGACTCAAATCTTTGACACACAAAGGAGACCAAATTGCCAGTCAATCTCATTAATTGTAAAGGTTAACACCTTCATCAACAAAACCTGGACAGTTTTGGAGGCTGGTCATTCTGACTGTCTGTCGGGGCCAATCTGGCGCGAAGAGGGATACAGTATGCCAGCAGACAGATGGACATGCTCCATAAAGTAAACTTCCCAAAACGGGATTGACCCTACATCTTCCATGTACAACAGCGAAGAGTCTAATCACTACACCACAGAAGCATGTTAGCACAAACGGGTAAATGGTTAAATTTTGCGCAGTCATCTTCAATCAGTTTGTAATATTATTTCTGGTGCAGTAATTACATAGTGGTGTAGCCTACATTTCCTATCAGTCTCTTTATCAATGATTGTGCGTATCATTTACTAGCCCCGTAAGTGGAGAAGGTGGTTTGGTAAAGTAGATGGCACCAGTGGTAGATTCAGCTTCTTTCCTTTTTGTTTCTTACAGTCCATTTTGCTTTTTTCCTTTCTCTAATTGACAGTTTTTGTGCCAACATGCTTCCCTTTCCTCAAACAAATTAAGCGACCTCACCAAAGTTGGGTAAAAACAAGAACAACAAAAAAACGTACGGGAGGAAGCCACCGGCCACAGCTGAGAGATACACTGCAGGTCCAGGGTACCAAATTCCTCCTCCTGTTTCTCTGGACGGCTTGGGCCGGCTGAAGCTGTGGCCTGGTGGCTACTACTGCTGCTGCTGCTGCTGCAGCTGCTGCTGCTGCTGCCAGCTGATGTGACGTTCTGGCCACTGTGGCTGCCAGTTGAGCTAGCAGAGAGAGCTGTGTGCTGTGAGACATCATGGCCGGCCGCTGTTTTGTCCTGACTACGGAGTCCCATGTGGAGAGGCCTGGATGGGCAAGACAGGAAGTACGCACAAACTGACAGCAACTTCTAGACAGCACAACTGAACACCATGAGTACAAAATGTCAGCACACACGTGCGTGTTGACAAGCCTGCCTGTATTAAATGTACATACTTGTGTGTGTACACCAGCCTGCCTGTATTAAATGTACATACTTGTGTGTGTACACCAGCCTGCCTGTATTAAATTACATGTGTGTGTGCAAACCAGCCTGCCTGTACCGTGGAAACTGCCCTGACAGCCACCTCTATAAGACGGCCACCTGTACAAACGGCCACTTTCCATTTCCCCCCTTGCATTTTTTCTATATAATTTAACTGTGTAAAACGGGCACCAGTCCAACGCGGCCGCCATATTTGAACACACAACCCCTATTACACCAAGTAATAACACCTGTCTTAGACGGTCACCTTAGTGACTCCATTATGTTTTGTCATAAACTGTGCATTAGCCCCTGGTGTTGTGGGCAAGCCGTCATAATCCAATCACCTGTCGTTATTGTTAGGTAGTCCCTCCAACCGATCATGTTGCGTAGGACCCTCCCACTGTTGACCAATAAGTAGGCTACCAATTTTCAGCTGATAAGATAAGACAAGATACATCTTTATTGTCCAGATCCTGACACATTGGTTTGGTGTTTCACCACCTGTATACACACACCCACACACCCACACACCCACACACGTAGGCTTACAATCACATGCATAATATAAATGAGCAGCAATATAAACAATAATAGTTGTAAGCTAGATACACACTCAATGTTATTTTTATGCATGCTCTAAGGTCGTAAGTATACTTATACTGGTGAGGTTAGCGTGTGATCCCTCATAACCCTTAAGCCCCACCCAGAACTCATACACAAATTGTAAGTGAGATGAGTGGTCACTGTTTACTCAGTCTGTAACAAAGTAACAATGGACGTCAACATGAACCCGTGACAGAAGCGTTGCTCGTTCTCCGAGTGGTGGCGACTCATGAGTTTGTTTTAACATGGCACTCGGTCTTCCTCGTCTGATACATTTCGATTTATTGTCACCCTTACGCAAAATCAGCAACAAAATAAAAATTACAAACAAAATACAAACCAACAAAAACAAAAACAACAGCAATGCGGCTACTTTCGATTGGGACCTCGGATGGGAATAGTTTGTTTTCTTCATCTTGATCAGTCCTGCCTAAGACGACCACCTGTCTTATACGGCCATTTTTCTCCTTGACAATGGGTGGCCGTCTTACACAGGTTTGATTGTATTAAATGTACATGCATGTGTGTAAACCAGCCTGCCTGTATTAAATGTACATTCTTGTGAGAACTAACAAGTATGCCTTATAAAAAGAACACTCTTATGAGAACTAACAAGCATGCCTTCATAAAATGTACACTCTTGTGTGTGTTAACCAACCTGCCTATACTAAAAGTAAAATTGTATGCAAGTGTGTGTTAACAAGCCTGACAGTGTTAAATGTACACCTTTCATTCCACAGAGACAAGCTCAACTATTACCACCATCTGACTGGTGGCATTCCCTCCATATCATCATTTCACGGGCCAAATGGTTCGTGGGCCCAGATTCACAATAAAATCACGTCAAGCATATATATGTTGGTGACATAGCACTTAGTTGGCTGGTTACCAAAGTGTGCCCTTGAGCAAGACATGATAACGCCAGCTCACAAACAAGTTGCTGCACAGTAGTGACAAGCAATGGCAAGTGTATACTGGTGTGATGTTGTGCATTCTGAATATATGTATGGCACAAGCCATTATTTAACAAGTTTCCTCATGAGGAACAGTAAAAATGGTACTTAATTTCATCATTGTTAACCAAATGTCCTTGTGGGAATGAGGAAAAATAGGATCTAACCTCATCATTCTTCCCTAAATGTCCTCATGGGAATCATTTTTTAAAAGCGGTCAGCCAAAAGAAAGTAAAATCCCCAATTTTTCTTCTTCTATTTGAGCAACCTTTCTAAACGGAAAATGCAGCTAAACTAAAGAAAACCTGGCCGTATTGCAGATTTCTATTTGTAACGATCTCCACTGTGGTACTTAATTTCATTCAGTGCACGGAAGTGTCATTCCAGTTCAATAGCAACATCATTGACAGCTGAACAATTATTTAAAACAAAGCTGCAACAACTTTGATATCAGCATAGAATGTAACACATTGTTTACAAAAATACTAGACAGCAAGAGAGAAAATCAGGCCTATAATGTTAAGTACCTGGCAGCATGTGTGCACACAAAGTCCACTGAGACAAGCTTGACCATCAGTGCCATCTGGCGGCATTCCCCCCACGTCATCTCTCCAAACGTTTTTCCCCAGAGTATGCTGGGAACCAACTGGCAAAAACATTCGAACAAAGCATTAAACCATAATGATAATGATAATGAGAGGAGGAGGAGGAGGAGGAGGAGGAGGAGGAGGAGGAGGAAGAAGAGGAGGAAGAAGAGGAGGAGGAGAAGGAGCCAGTGAAGAAAAAGAGTCATATTTTTTACCAGTAACAGATATTCTATTAAATCAGAACAACAGAATATTACACAAATCTGTCAGAATAATTATTCTTTAAGGTTGGACTTCATTTAAAACCCTACCAACTCAAGTGACCCAGTGTCATTGGTCTTGTGCTGTTCTCAGATGCTACAGATTACACCTTGACCACATCGTTCTCATGACTTACTGACAGAATAAAAACCTGCAAAAAAGAAAGGGGGGGGAGAACCCTCAGATGGCCAATCCTGACATCCGAAATCAAAGAGGAATAAAATACCTTTGACGACATTGTCCTGAGCACATCGCGCACAGACTGAGGGAATGGAGGGTAGAGGAAGAACCCCCCATCCTGCTGCCACCTCTTTCCCCCGGCCTTGTGAGTGACGGGCGGGAACAGGCCACGTGCTTCAGTATTGAATGGCTTGGGGAGGTTACTGAGATCACTGGGTTCGAATCTGTAAATCTGCGGTGGTGGATGGGGAACAACATTATAAAAAATATTTAAATAAAATAATAATAATAATTGTTAAAATAATAATAATAAATATACTAATAATTAATAATGATAATAATAAAAACAACACAATAATAATATTAGCAGCAATAATAACACACTGTATTAAGTTACATTCATTTAAAAAGTAAGTCATGCACTAAACAATTAATACAAATTTACATATAGAAGAAATGTGTTTCTTCCAAAATAGAAAATAATGCAGGTACAACAAATGCAGCCCCAAGCTGTATACATACCAAACAAGCCTTGCACTGAACGAAACTAAACTTGTGAAGTTTTCTTCTTCCTCCTTTCTCTACACATCCACCAGTTTATGCTGATCGTCAAACGGGAAAAAACTGACAAATCTATACTTACCCACGAGTTTGTGGTGGTGGAGAGCCACCCATGCCTCTTCTGTCGAGAGCCTGTCAGTGAAGATAACTTCTGACAGGTCAGCATGTGACGACACAGAATGCACTGGCCGGGTCTCAAGCTCATGAACAGATCTATCTGAAGAAAACCAAACACATCCAGAGGATGACTACCTCAGTGCATATATCAGACATCAAGAACTATAATAATCATAATAATAATAATAATTATAATAATAATAATAATAATAATAATAATATAATAATAATAGATAGATAGATCTCTGCATTCCAGACATGTCCATTGGTGCTCCGTTGTTCTCTCCAAAATGTCGCCAAGGGTTTTTCCACAGATTGTGTCAGTGCATATCTGGTTGAACATTCTTCTGTTCTTTCCAGCAAGGATGACAGATTTTCCGCTTCCTTTTTTGTATTCCCAAAAGCATCATCCTCTCCACAGCAGTACTGGCCTCTGCCTTCCTATCTTCCTCCTCAATCAGCTGGCCAGAGAGAAATTTCAGGATCTCGACCCTGTCTGGTGGAACCGCAGAGATAGCATTTGTATAGTGCAAATCCCCGCTCAACAGCAAGTTCTGTGCGCTTCACAATCTATACTATTACCCCAGCAGACCTGAGAGCATTCTGAAATAACCTCAACTTTCTGGGAAGCATAGAGTGCAAGCGGCCATTTATAGGCGCTAAAACACTAACACACTGACAAGATCTTTCGCTGTCTATGGCTGGGTATCCATTCCCACCTGGGTGAAGTGAAGAAAATTTGTGTAAAGTGCCTTTCTCAAGTACACAACATCGGGCGAACGCCTTGCATCCCCGAACCTGCAAACTATCAAGGTAGACCACTTCGCAACTCTTTCCCTCACCCTTTATTGCAGTTTCTAATTTTTTTTACCACCACCCCTCCTGTAGATGCCGGAAGTTTCCACAAATGCCAACTTTTCGAGACACAAAAACTTTTCAACAAAAAGCATGAAAGAGGTGTGTGTGTGGG